ACTGAGTTTCAGTGGTTATTTGGGCATATTTTGGCATGGCATACTTCTGTTTTTGGCTGGTTTGGTGAGCCATCATATGGTCCATATAGTTGTAATGTAACTCATGGTTCACTAGCTTTCTTTGCATGCTTTGTTGACCCTTGATTTTAACACTTTTTGGCCATGCCTTAAACTGATATTGTGCTTATTTTGGACTGCCCTAGCTCTGTTTTTGGGTCTCATGGTTGAATAATGTTGGTTTTGCATGCTTGTAGTTCAATACCCATGCTTAACTTTGAGTTTTGAGGTTCATTCCATGCATATACCGAGGTGTGCTCATGTTTTGGGCTCATTATACATCATATTTCAGAACTTTTTTGAATTCCATATTGCCATGTTTTGTACTCTTTAAATGTGTTTGAGAGTCGGACTTATATGCCTTGTTTTTGGACCATTGAATGAGCTCCATTTCGTTGCATTCCGAGCCATCATTTTAGGCCATTTCCCCACTATTTCAGACCTGCCTAGGGTCTGTTTGGGGTTGGTTTTGCCTTTGGTGCATTGCTTTGGGTACCTCTAGTGTAACGCACTTCACTAGTTTCGGTACCCGGGCCGCCTAGCTTGCATTGTGTGCCATATTTGCATGTTTCAGGACCATATTTTATGCCATTTCAGAGCTGTATCATGTGTCATTTTATGCCATGTTTCATCCTTTACCATGCTTTGGTAGAGTGGCATTTGATGCCTTATGATCGGTCATTTGCATCGTACATGTTTGCATGTGTTTTGGTTGTCTCATTTCCATCATATGGCCACTGATTTGAGTGTGGTTGAGGTCCACTCATATTGGTTTAAGTCTACCTTGCATTGTGTATGCCATGTTGCAATGTGTTATGCATGTTATGTTGTTAGCTTTGTGTATGCCATGTCATTCCTCGCATTGTGTATGCTAGGTTGTTAGTTGCATTGAGTATGCCATAGGTTGTTAGTCGCATTTAGTTCATGAGCATTATGCATGCCATGTAGTGTTAGCATTGTATATGCTAGGTGCATGTTTGCATTTCATCCCTTGCATGTTTGCATAATTCAGTGGCATTGCATCTAGGATTGCATGTTAGAATTGCATTCATGCATATCATGCATATTGCATTGTGTTTGGAGTAGGGTTTAGTCTAAACACGGGAAACGAGGGATGTTTCGTACTCTAAGTGACGAAACGTGCCTCGATTCCCGGTCGCCGACGCTCCGGATTATCCATGATGGAGTTTAGGCCTTGTTGCGTTCATATGTGCATTCATTTCACATTGAGTCGTGCAATTCGATTCCTCGGCCATCATGCATCGAGATGCGTGATTGGTGGCACGAGGATCGAGGACTACACTCCCTAGAGCTTGTGCAATGATGGGGAGAATGGTCGTGCACACATGTGTCGCAAATGCCTTACTTTCTCTTTCTCTTGCCTTTGTTGCAGAAAAACCAGAACTGGAGGCAGAAACTGGTTGGCCGACCAGCTTTTCTGGCAGGCCGACCACCCCTTTTGGTTTTTCCTACATAAATTGGTCGATCGGTGGTCTCCAAGCCCAATAGCTGGTCGGTGGCCCTCCCACAGCTTCCCAGAGTGGAGTTTCAGCCTCTCGGAGCTTTGTGCAAGTTTCTGGATTCAATTGCAAACAAAGGTGAGCCAAGGCATCGCGATGGAATTTACCGACAAGGCAAATTGAGCATGCATACACCCTCCATCATTCCGAGCAGAGCTGAGGCAGTCCATTGCATGTAGCATAGCATGCTAGTTTACTCTGCTTACCTAGTTCATTTGTTAAGTAATTAGTGTTGTGTAATAATTCGTTATTTATTTTGATTGTGTAATATTCATTCGGACCCTCCGAGTGAGGGCACAATTGTAATAAGTGTGTGTGTGTATGATGTATGTCTTCCAACCCCACGTCTTTCTCTCTTTTATTCACCAGCTTATGATGGTCAGTTTAGGGCACGTTTTAATTAGAATACTTATGATAGCATGTTTGCATTCATTCATCTGTCTTGCATGCACCGGGCTCGGCGCATCATACTAACTGCATTGTATTTCAATTCCGAGTTGAATACGTGTGTCAGTTGCTGCATTTCATATGCTATTTTAGAATAGCCGAGCATATTGTAGTTGCATTCCTACATGTGTTGCATTAGGCATTTCCGCATAGTTAGGATCATGCATAGATTTCTAGCATAGCTTCTGTTTTGGCTTGGAGTACTCGGTAAGTGTTTATGCTTTAGCATCCTTGCATGTGTGTGAGCGATTGTCATGATAGCATGCTTACCATGAGGCTATGTGCTTATGTGATATACCTACCTGAATGCCTGTGGGTGAAGGTTGGGTTATTTGAAATGGAATAATGCATTGACTGTGAGTTTTAAGACCACTTGAGAGTGGCAAAACATTACGTTTTCTAAGCCCACCCGAGGGTGGCAAATCCACGTCTTAGCCTACTTGCGGGTAGCATCACCAAACCATTTTCAAAATAAACAAACATGAGATGTGTTGTTCCAATTCAGGCGATCCAGTCTATACTTGTATGCTGTGCGCATCACATAGTAAATCTAGGCTAATAACCGGAATAAGAACGCATAATATTTTCAAAACCCGATATTATGGTTAGTAGAGGCCGATCTTTGATCGGGCGAGAGTTGGGGTGCTCACGAAGTGACCTTCCCCAATCGTACCCAAGTTCCCGAGTCGAGGCAACTTTGGTGATGACGGACACGTGGCCTTAGGCAACCGAGTCAGGGTTTCCTAAATCCCCAGCCGAGACAACTTTGGTGATGACGGACACGTGGCCTTAGGCAAACAAGTCAGGGTTTCCTAAATTCCCCAAAATAAAATATTTAGGTGACGACTCTATATCTGGCAAAGCAGTCCATGTTTGGCACTTCTTTAAAAAAAAAATCTGTTTTCAAAAATGATTTGCCGGATTTGGACTCTTTGATGATTCATCGATCTTGTATTGCACTCTGTGAGATTAGATACAAGACCGTGACATTTGAGTCCTGAACTGTAGTGAGCCCATATGAACAAAACGGGGTTTCCAACATCAACTACAACTACATACAACATCAACTACATACAACATCAACATTATGACATCCAACATCAACTACGTAAAAGACGAAGATCACTAACCTTGCTGCCTTGGAGTCATCTTCTCCATAACTGGTTCAACGTCTATTTGTCAATGTCGTTTGGTGTTCACCAAAATTCCACGTTCAACCAATGTAGGTTTTCACCATCGCTTCGTGTCTAGGTTGTGTGATTACTGCTACCAACAATCTCTCATCAACATAACACGATTCACAATATAAACGCATAACCAACCAAATCAACATTAGAATTCAAATTTTTTCCATTCCTGATAGCGTGGGATTCGCTCGCAAACGAAGGAAATGATAAAATCCTATAGTGAGCTTGGTGCAAATGTGTAATTTAACTAATTGCGAAATCCCACATTAACCCTCTCATTTCAGTGAAAAATGTGTTGGTACTACACCCTGTTATCGTAATTTCATTTATTATGGGACCTTTGGGTCTATAAAATAAACCACAGGATTAACTAGTTTACTATTTGGAAATTTGGGATTTATTGGTGCTTGACCCTTATAATTTCAGGGAGTGTTTTGACAGAAAATTTTTTAGGTGCTTTATGCTACCATCCAATTATTAATTCTTATGTCTTTTGTAATTTCTTCATATTTTAATATAAAATCGTAAACTCTTACGCTTTTTACTGATCATAACCTCTCCAAGCATTAGCTGACATGCCTTGTAACTATTAATTAACCTTTAATAGATCCAAAATCCATTAAGGCAATTTATGTTGTGTTTTTGCAAAAATTAAACTTTAGTTAAAAAAAAATTTATTATTTTTAGATATTTTTGGGACAATACAAAAAATAGTACCGCTACATAACTCGAATGAGGTTCGTCCCAAATGACTCGAATTCCAAAACGACGTCGTTTTGGATTTTTTTTTCTTTCTCTTTTCTCTTTGAAGATGAACAAGATGAAGATGATGAGAGAAGAGGGAGTTGTGAATTTGAAAAAATAACCAATAATCATAAAAAAATAAAAATAAATTGTAGAATACATCATCATCAACACATCATCAACAATAACAACTGTGCTGTGCTTCTTCTTCTTCTCTATACACACACAGATCTGTACACAGAGAGAGAGAGAGAGAGAGAGAGAGAGAAAGAGAGGGGGGAGGTACACAGATCTATACAGATCTTTATACACACACAGATGATGGCGGCACCGGTGATGGGTGGAGTGCCCTCCCTCTTCTCTCTTTCTTCTCTTCCTCTTTTTTTCTCTTTCTCTTCTTCTCTCTTTTTTATTTTTCTTCTCTTCCTCTGTTTCCCTTTGTTTCAGAGATATAAGAGAAAAAAAAAAAAAAAAATTCGAGCCAATGGCATTTCGAGCTACCCAGTATTATTCTACAAAAAAAACTTTAGAGTTTGACTCTTTTAAAAAAATAAACTCTAAGGTTTCAATTTTATTAATTTAAATATTAATATTTTGATTTATTTTCAATCTAAATAATTTATCTATTTTTGTTAATTTAAACAGACAAAAAAAAATAGTATTTCAGTCATTAAGTTTAATTTAGGTAGATATAAAATATCTTTTTTATTAAATTTAATAACTAAAATATGTATTTTTTTGTCGACTTTATTTATTAAAAATAGACAAATGATTCAAATTAAAAAAATAAAAGTAAAAAATTTAAATCGACAAAATTAAAAATTTATCTTCTTACAAAATTCAAATCTTGTTTTGTTTAAAATAGTTTTTTAAATATTTTTAAAATTTTATTTTTATGAAATTAATTTTTACTTTTTAAAATGAATTAAAAAACAGATTCTAAAAATTCAACCGGAGTGAGTGACTGTGGCCCACAACTTGAACCCAACCGGCCAACCCAGTGTCCGCACAGAATATAATATAATTGCGTCTCTCGTCCCGCCATTTCCATAACTTTACATTTGTCGACCTCTCATTGGTTGCTTCTGCACATAGTTTGGAGAGAGAGAGAGAGACAGAGACAGAGACAGAGACAGACGACGATGGCGAAGCAGAGGAAGAAGAGAGGTCGGCCCTCCTCAAATAACTCAGTGATTGAAGCAGAAGAAGAGACAGAAAACGAGGTCAAGAACGATGAAGTTTCAGGGTACGAGCAGTCCAGAGACCAAAGAATCAAAGAGAATCTCCAGAGAATGCAGAAACTTGGGATTTTGGACCTCTCTCGACAGCTCAACCCACCTTCAAAGCGTCCCAAAAAAAACCCTTCTCAGAAGAAGCCTTCTTTGCCCTCCTCTGATCCCCCCAGACGCCCTAGCCCATCTTCTCGGTACCCCCTGTTTCCCTTCTGTTTGTTTCCTGAGAAAAAAAGCCAAATCCTAGTTTGATATTATTATTCACTCTAACCGACAAACTCGGAATTTAAGCATAATTTTTTTTAAAAGCTTCACTAATGGCAGAGTGGTCTGCCTTGAAAATTTTGAGTGAATATTTGAGTATCCCTTAGATTTTGGGTAAAAACTTGAGTGAACTCAATTTTGTATTAAGTTTAGGTCAAAGAATGGAGTGTGTTTTAAATTTGATATAGGTTTGAGTCTAAGGATTGGAGATGCCCATGAGAGGCATTGTTTTACTTTCATTTTCTTTTCCCCTTTCCCACCATCCAAACGGATATTTTCAACTTTGGTTGGTTTGTTTAGGTTGATGGCAGTGACTCGGGTTACTTACAAGGAAGTGAGCGCTCCAAAGAAGAAACACAAATCGGAGGAGAGTGATGAAATTGAAATTGTTATGAAAGAAGGTTCGAAGCCGGAGATATATACAGAAGAGGATGAGAAGCTTTTGGGGGATTGTGAGACAGCTTGGATTCTGAATGTGGATGGATATGGCGAAGATGGGGAGCGAATATATGATCCTTTCTTCGGGAAGTCTTGCCATCAATGCAGGTATATTGAGCTTTTACTCTTATTTTTGTTGTACTCAACATCGGAGAGTGAGTTAATTTTTATAATTGTTGTTCTTCTAGTTTATCATTATGTGCATTAGACCAAATATGTTAAAAATGGTTTGATATAATGGAATATGCTTTCCATTTTAGACATAAAATTTACATGACTTTATTAAGTTCTTTTTAGTATTTTTGTGGTTGTTATGTTTTTTTTTTTTTGAGGGGTGGTTTTTGGAAGATAATTTGATGAGTTGACATCATTAATTTTATAGAGCTTGCATTAGCGATGTTGAATGAATACTATTTTTTTATGGATTTGGCGAAGATAAAATATTTTCCCGAACGATTGTATTTTATAATGTAAAAGTACATAAGGAATTACTTGAAGATATTGAATTTATAGAGATATTTGCGGAGGAAAAAGAAAGAGAAGGAAAAAGTCAATGAAATATAGTTTCTACTTCAATCACTTTTCCCTTTCCATTTGTTTGCCAACCACAAATCCCCTCACAAATCTAAGATCCAAACACACCCTTAAATGTCAGAACCATGTAGATGCCATACTAAGGCCTCATTTAGGTTTTTTTTATTTATTATTTTTTTTAAGTGATTTTTAGGCTTTTTTAGCAAAGGAAAAATGTTTGAGAATGACTTTTTTTAGTTGTATGGAAAAATGTGAATAACTGATATGCATAACTTACGTTTTTAGTGTTTTTTTTTGACTTTTTAAACCAAAAAGCCAAGTTGCCAGATGAGGCTTAATTGGGCTGTATCTCAGTACTCTCAACTTGTTCTTTAAGCTCTAGAGTCATCAGGGACTACCAGCTCCATTAGTTAAGTTGGGTCATCCAGGATGTAAGACCCTTTGTTTCTCACTACACTCATAAACATTATTTTCCAATAGAAAATGATTTCCACTAACAGCAAGAGAATTCTAGTTATCTCTCTTAATTGCATGATTAAGAGTCAACTGAAGAAATATGCCTTGTGTAGACCACATAAAGAAACAAGTACAAATGCTTGTCTAAGTGAGTCACACTTATAACAGATGTTGGACCCTGACATATTAATGATGTTTATTTTATTTGTTGACCTGTTATTTTCATTTCCCACGTGATGGAAACACTAGCAAGAAGTCCATGACATCTTCAAAAAAAAAATTGGTTCCTCTCTCACTCACAAAAACATGAAGCATGTGACGTGCCAAGGATAAAAGTGCTCATCTCTTCTGATTCTTAAGCATCCCCTACTTCTCAAAGAGAGTTGTGCTACTTGTCTTTTCTTGTTGAAGGCTTCCAAACCTTGGAAATGTTAAATAAAATTTTTCAACAGGCCCAAAACAGAGGAAAGGGTGTCCTTCTGTTCAAGAAGAAACCTAGAGATTGTTTACTATAAGAACTTGCAACATATAGGTTTATCATAACTTCCACCTTATTACACATCTACACCTATTTAGAGTTGGTCTTGTGATTCTAACAGCACATAAATTATAGCACAAGTTTCTGTGGGTCCCATTCTTTCACTATTAATGCAAATATTTTCTTGAATCTCATGCGCTAATTGGAGTGTACTATAATTGCACATGGTTCAATTGATTATTTATCCTTCCAAATAAGTCATTAATTAAGATAAATTTAGTAAATTTGGGCTGTTGATTGTGTGGGGGAATCACTGGTTCTTATATGATCTCATCGTAAGGTTACCAAAGACTGAACTCATTCTTAAAATTACAGGCTTTTACAATTCAGTGCTTAGATTTATGAAATTTTGTTGTTTCATTGAAGATGTGTTCATAGCTTGCCGGTGGTACTATGTTTTGGCAGTGTATTTGGAGCAGAATTATCACTGGGGTGGAATAAATAAGGGCTGCAATTGAACTAAGTTGTTCACGAGTTTGGCTCAATAATGGGTCAACTCAGCTCAGTTCTTTATTATATTATTTATCTATTAAATAATATAAAATATATTATATATGTATATATGATATAGAATAATATTTAACGAGTTGACCGAGCTTGATTGTCAAGCCAAATTTTTCGTTATTATCGAGTTTCGAGCTGAGGTCGGGCATAATTAGTATAAATGAGCCAAGCTGAGCTTGAGCCTTGCAAAGCCCGACTCGGCTGTAATTGTTTGCTGCCGTCGGTGGAATTGATGGAGCAGACAGATGATGCCTGGCTTCCTTCAATTTTTAACAACAGGGATGTTTGCCAATTCTAGTGAGGACTTGATCACACTGCAATTCCAAAGGGTTATGGATCTTTTTTGCATGTTTCATCAGCTGTGAGACTTTTGGAACTTGGTCAGTTTGTAACATTTGGTGTGTGAGTAGGCACCACGGTCTGGATTGGAGTTAATGATATGGCACCTATGTGTGATGTACCTGGTGTAGAGTGAGAACCATCTCAAGTGAGAAAAGAGCTGCCTGTCATTGCCAGGTAAAGTAATTTTGGGGGCTCCCTAATGCAGAGTAAGACCTGCCTCAAAAAGGATAGGGATAATCGTCATTAAATTAGAAGTTACTACATTAAGACCTATGATGCACTGACATTTCAAAACAAGTGCTGTATCCGTGTCGGACACACGGACACTTCGGGGTGGCGTGTCCCCTTATTTAATTAATTTATTTTCAGGGGACACACCGGGGACACACTAGGGACATGCTAACTTGTCTTTTTTCTCATTTTCTTTGGTGCTTTTGATGAATGTTTAATGTTTATTATTTTTTTCTTAGATTTAAATATTTAATAGATCATCTATAAAAAAAAGATATAAACGGTAAGTGTTAATTTATTTAATTTTTTTTAAAAAACAAAATAAAATATAGAATTAGAGTTAGTTTTTGTAAATATTGATTGTTTGTGGATGTAATATTAATCTAGATAGCAAATAAAAATATATTTTATTGCCGTGTCTCCGTTGTGTCAGTGTCTGTCTCCATTTTTTTGAAATTACTGTGTCCCGTGTCTGCATCCGTGTTCATGTTTGTATCCGTGTCTGTGCTTCTTAGATTAAGACTCTTTGAGGATAATGTATTTGGAAATGTGGGGTTTTGTTGACAACAAACTGCTCTAAAAGCTTAAGCAGATAAATAATTGTCGTCAACATGCCCCCTTACATGTGGACAAACTCCCTTCCATGAATGGGTTAAGCAAGTTTATGTATTATATTTTTAAAAAATAAATTGATAGAGAGAGAATAAATTGTATGTATTATTGATTGTTGTATCTTGATGTTTATTACAATGATCATGATTCCTATATATAGAAGAGGTTGAGTGTGTAGTAAGTAAGGAGTAGGTGAAGTGGAGGTGGTAGTGGTGTAGTGGGTTAGGAGAGAAGGTGGATTTTAACAATATTTGTCATGAAATTGTCAGGATTAAAGCATGGGATCTGTCTAATCTGGTGCCATGTTGGTAATCAGTTTTTCTAAAGCTTAAGCTGTTAGAAGTGGTAATAACTTAATTGTTTAGATCATCAACATGCTTTTAGCATATTGGTCTAGTTCATAACATGGTGCTATCTAGTGCTCAGATGTAGTCATTGCAATAATGGTTAACAAATTCACAGTCAGTCACAAAGTTTTAAGACATTATTATGACTTATTAAAGGATTAACTACTGTAGATTGTCTAATCTCTAGTCTTGTCATTTGTCAATATTGACACCTGCAACCTAAAGAAACGTATGACATTAATATTCAAGAAATCAGTAGTACAACTAATCTGTAAGGAGAATTGTTGTAAGCTTGTAATACACTTAAGCAGGCATCGGTTTGCTTTTAACAAATTGGGGTACTTCAACAAGTTAGCTGGATGAGTATGGAAGTGATTCCTTTTCAAGATAATGGCTTAATCCTTGATGGGAAAGGAAGTGATCCTAATCATTGTGCAGTCCAATTCGTAATTGAAATATTCTCACTAACAGGGACATCAATAGATTTTGTGGAAGGCAAAACACTCAGCAATTTGAAGAGAAGATTATTCCTAAAAAATCGTTTTATTAAGCACTGAAAATGCTTTTCATTTCTTTATTATGGTCACTATGTCCATTGTAGTTTTCTAGTTTGCTTGAGAATATTGCCTTCATTATCTTAAGTGGGAGCATCGTGTAATGGATCACATTTTTTTTTAATTATCTTAAGCAAGATAATTATTTACTGAAGGTATCCAGAGTTGTTCATCATTTGCGCATAACACAGAGCAACATGAGTCAATGGTAGGGCATCATTTTATGTTGGCCGATTAGTTGGTAACTGTAGGCATCGTGACTCTGCAAGTAGCAGGGTGCATAATCTGTCAAGGAAAGTGACTGCATAATATAATCCATTGACTTCATCATTTTTTAAAATAAATAGGGGAGCTTAAGAGTTAAAAATGAAGCCTATCTTTTGTGATCCCAGAAATTACAAAATGGGTTTCTGTAATTTCCTGTGAAATTAAAATATGATCATCATTGTAATTTGCTTCAATTAAATTTATACTGTATTTTGTTGTTTATTTCTTTGATTGCTATCAATGACTTGTAGATGCATCACCCTTCTGTTTGTATTATTCATTTCTATAATTATGATATACATTCTTTGTCCTAGCAAACATATGCAGTGAATCATAATCAGCTATGATCTGATTTCTTACAGGCAGAAAACTATTGGTCACCGTACCAATTGCAGCAAGTGCAAGTTGGGCCGAGGGCAGTTTTGTGGAGATTGCTTATACACAAGGTAAATTTAAAAACATATATTGTCTATCAAAAAAATATTTGAGATGCCTTTTTTACATCCTTAAAAGAAAGTTCTATTTTTACTTGTCTTCACTTCTGCTCATTTAAGCTTGGTGTATGCATAAGATTTTGTGGTGCTGAAGCCTGCAGTCATTTGAAGGGACCATTGTGAAATGGTGTTGGATAAACTTTAACTCAATTGATGCGTAGATATTCAATTACCAATTACCAATCCATGTATGTTTTGTTACTACAAAAAAAAAAAAAAAAGAAAAGAAAAGAAAAGAAAAAAAAAGATCAGAACTTTACAAATTACAGACATCGTTCATTTTTTTTGCTCTGCGCTTGTTGTGTTGGTAAGGTTGCATACATCCTGCCCTCCCTTAACCTTGCCTTAGCAGGAGCCACTCTTTTTTACTCGTAACTCCGTATCTTTGCCTTGAGCATTGTCAGTTTCATTTCACATGTAATCTCAGTGCTAAGACATGCTCCAATTGTTTGTCAAATGAAGGGACAATTCCCATATCATGCACATATTTTTTTTTTTTTTTTTGAAATTGCTATTAATTGTTCTGGGATAACAAGAAAAGTTTTCGAAACATGCTATGTAACATGTACAATTTGAACCTAGAAATGCTATATGTATGGTGCAGAATTATTAGATATACATCAGCTGCGGCAAATGTCAGTGGACTTATTCTGTGTTCAATTTGTGCTACTTTCGCAGATACGGGGAGAATATTTTGGAAGCAAACCAAAATCCAAATTGGATTTGCCCTGTATGTCGAGGAATTTGCAATTGTAGTCGTTGTCGACGTGCTAAAGGATGGGAACCTACTGCTGCTATTTATACAAAGGTTAAATCAAGCTTGGGTTATTTCATGCAATTTTTTGTAGATATTATTTGCTCCTCTCTGGTTTGTTAGGTTTTGAATCAAAACACCTTGGGTGCTAAAATAACGAGTAAACATTTATGGTGCTCTATGGTTGGGCGTCTAATGGAGACAGTAGGCCAATTGGTAGAGAAAACAAACCCTTAAAGGGCATCATAGGAGAGGAGTAATGACCAATGTCTGTTCATTTTACAGGTTTCAAAACGTGGCTTCAAGTCTGTGGCACACTATCTCATTCAAACCCGTCGTTCTCAAACAAAGCAAGAAGAGCCAGCTGATGGAGACCTAGTTTCTGCTGATAAATCCCCCTTTGCAGATGTAGAAGTGAAGTCACCCTTGCATGATGAGGGTGTTGACTCGCAACTCACTCATGATGGAGTCCCAAACCCTCAATCTCAGGACAACAACAATGTGGAAGAGTACAGCGATGATGAATATAAAGAAGAGGATGATAATCATGACAGCACTGATACTGATGATGATGATGATGATGATGATGATGATGATTGACTTAAAGCATTGTGCATAGCCTGCTCTTGCCACTGTGGTAGTTCATAACCATTAGATTCACTCAGAATTTGTGCATTTTGGGAACAAAACCTCCTTTTTTGACCATAACGAAATGCAAATGGCGGTGGCTGTATAAGAATCAACCAACACATGCTTTTGTTTTTCTTTTTGTTTTTGTAAAGGTACTAATGTTGCTAAGAAATTTCTACAGGAGAATCTCTTTCTTTGGATCTTTGGGCAATGATAGTACTGTTGTATGGAGAAGCTTGAATGCATTTTGTAGACATTTCTAATGGTCTTCTGTCTTTTATCACATGGGAGGGGTGTGAGATAAAAGTCTCATGCACAGTATTGATTGAGAGAAAGAAGTGAGGAGTCCTCTTTTCAACTCTGACTCTCACTCCAGTCGTAGCTGTTCTTTCTATTACTTCAAAAGTAGCTGCTTCAGCTTTAGTCAATCGAATTTTCAATATTTTTTGTTAATTCTTTACGAATGGCATCTTCTTCTAGAAATTCTAGCTATTCTTAGCATATCATATAGCAAAGTTCACCATATAAGCTTAAAAAAAGTTGCTAAATGGGCTGGTGATGGTATTGTGAAGATTGAAATACAGGGTAAACTGAGAGTATTGGCAGAGCTTAGCCACCTCATACAACGAGTTGAGCACTTCATCGTTCTTAATTTACCTGTGCCAAAGAAAGCCAACTGTGTGCCCAGGTTGCAGCCAACAGATACGCCATTGCCTTCGCACTTGGAAGTTGGTATTGCACAATCTTGGTTGTCAAGGCAAACTGCAGAGTTTTCTCTCTCTCTCTCTCTCTGAGACTAGGTTTTTTTTTTTTTTTTGGGAGCAACTGGAGTATAACTAGTTATTGTATGAGTATTATCTGCAACTAACACTGGTATCGTACTGATCTTGCTGCATATTGTCTCCCAGCAAAAGCCACCACATAGCCACCACCGATCAGATTTTGCACACATATAAATTATAATGCATTAAGTCGTTAAAGAATTTAAACTTTTTTGGAAGCCAAGGGTGTGTTTGGTAATGTTTACGTTTTCAGTTTATATTTATAAAAATTTAAAAAAAGAAGAAAAAGAAAAAAATGCTGGCATGACTTAAAGATATGAAAAGATCACTGTCAAAAAATGGCTATGATGGTAAATGATACAGTTACTTGTTGTGACTTTTGATGACTATCAGTATACGGTGGGCTTATAGTTGTCACTGGATTCACGATCGAGTGAGGCGAGTTGGTTGAACTTCGGGTCTTCTATGTATGACCTACAAACAAACTTTTAAGAACTCATCAGCAGGCATCCTTTTCTTGGGCCCTCCTACAAACAAGTTAGTTAAAGATAGAACTCTGGTGGAGGAATGTAAGAGATGAAAGTGAGATAAGATACTTGGGGTATATATTTTGGTTAATCATACTAGGAATGTAAGAGATGTAAGTTAGCAGGCATCCTTTTCTAGGGCCCTCCTCTCATGATATGCCACGTGGCATTCTTTTCTCGAGACATGCATCGTACACCTGCAAGTCCAAGTGGCATGAGGGGACAAGCAGGAGACACGACATGTCCTGTGTGATTGTGACGCGCTCAGTACGAAGGGACATCTTTCTTCCTCGGTTTACTTTGAATGGTCTTGACGGTATTCATCTAACCTGGTTATTTGGTTTGCTCAATTAATCTTGATTGCTTAAATAAAATATTAGAAAAGATTGGTTGCTATTTTGGGACAAGTCACAAACTAAATTGCCAAACGTTTTCTGACTCTGCCCTTAAGCAAAGTCTTCTCAAAAAATATAATTAATTAATTTATTTATTAAGAAGCTTGAGTCGAAGCTCAACTTACGGAGTCCAGATTCCCTCCTTGAGCCCCCTCCTTCATTCCCTCCTTGTAGGGGTCTTCGGGTCCATTTTGAGGCCCAGTTTTGATAATCCGAACCGTTCATATTTTTAGATTTATTCAGTATATTATACCTGTAAAAAATCAAGTTGATCGGATATCAGAAAGTATGCGTTCAGAAAATTAGGACTACAAACTATTTTTTAATAAACAGTTTTCCAAACACATACTTTATGATATTCGATCAACTTGATTTTTTACAGGTATAATATACTGAATAAATCTAAAAATATGAACGGTTCGGATTATCAAAACTGGGCCTCAAAGTGGACCCGAAGGCCCTTGCAAGGAGGAAATGAAGGAGGGGGCTCAAGGGGAGGATCCCAATTCCAACTTACGGGGTTATGCCTTTGACATGCATAGGATGTAACGGAAGGTACAAGTGTATTAAGTTTTTTGGTGAAATTAAAATTTATCAAGATAATTTTTTAAAATTGGGGTTTTTATTGATAAGTCCAATTTAGAAGTGTTTTAACTCAAGAAGTCCATGAAGGAATTTTTTAACCCATTTAGTCCCATGTATGTATAGTTTTATTCCATAAAGTCCATTTTCTTGATTTAAACTATTTTCTTGGACACTTATGCCCTTATATTTAATTTGATACCCTTATAAATATTTTTTCAACGATTAACAATTTAATGATGTGAACATTTATATTTTAAAATTTACATTTATAGGAATGTAAATTGGCCCGTGGGCGGCTCGAAACCCGCCCGCGAGCCAGGGCGGACCCGGCCTGTTGACAATGTGAATATTCACATTGACATGTTAAAATTCACATTAATAGGAGTGTAAAATTGGCCCCTGTCCCGTGGCGACGCGAAACCCGCCTGCGGCCCATGGGCGGTCCGGGGCAGGCCCGGTTCGGCCTGTTGACAATGTGAATATTCACATTGACATGTTAACATTCAAATTGATAAGAGTATAAAATTGGGTCGCAGCCCATGGGCGGCCAAAAGCTTGCCCGCAGCCCGGGGCGGGCCCGGCCCGGCCCGTTGACAATGTGAATATTCACATTGACATGTTAACATTCACATTGATAAGAGTATAAAATTGGCCCGCGGCCCATGGACGGCCAAAAGACCGCCCGTTGCCCGGGGCGGGTCCGGCCTGTTGACAATGTGAATATTCACATTGACATGTTAACATTCACATTGATAAGAGTGTAAAATTGGCCCGCAGCCCGTGAGTGGCCCGAAACCCGACCGCAGCCTGAGGCGGGCTTGGCCCGACCCGTGACAATGTGAATATTCACATTGACATGTTAACATGCACATTGATAGTAGTGTAAAATTAGCCCGCGTCCCGTGGTTGCCCGAAACCCGTCCACGACCCGTGGACGACCCGGGACTGGCCCGACCCGGCCTGTTGACAATGTGAATATTCACATTGACGTGTTAACATTCACATTGATAAGAGTGTACAATTGGCCCGTGACCCGTGGGCAGCCCGTAGCTCGACCTCGGGCCAGGGCGGGCCCGGCTCGTTGGTAATGTGAATATTCACATTGACATGTTAATATTCACATTGATAGGAGTGTAAAATTTGCCCGCAGCCCGTGAGCGGCCCGAAGCCCGATCGCAGCCTGAGGTGGGCTTGGGCCGACCCGTGACAATGTGAATATTCACATTGACATGTTAACATTAACATTGATAGGAGTGTAAAACTTGTCCGCTGCCCGAAACTCGCCCGCGGCCCGGGATAGGCCCGGATCCAAACCCGGGCCACCCTGGGCCGCCCATGGGCTTCGAGCTGCCCATGGGACGTGAGTCAATTTTACACTTTTATCAATGTGAATATTAACATGTTAATGTGAATATTCACATTGTCAACAGGCCGAGCCGGGCCCACCTCGAGCTGTCCACGGGCCGTGGGCGTGTTTCGGGCAGCCACGGGGCACGGGCTAATGTTACACTCTTATCAATGTGAATATTAACATGTCAATGTGAATATTCACATTGTCAATGGGTCGGGCCCGCGTCGGCCCGGGGCTAGGCTTCGGGCTGCCCATGGGTCACGGGCTAATTTTACACTCTTATCAATGTTAATGTTAATATGTCAATGTGAATATTCACATTATCAACGAGCCGGGCCGGGCCCGCCCTGGTCAAGGGGGGGCTTCGGGTCGCCCACGGGCCACGGGCCAATTTTATGCTCTTATCAATGTGAATGTTAATATGTCAATGTGAATATTCACATTGTCAACGGGCCGGACCGGCCTCGCCCCGGGCCGCCCATGGGACGCGAGTCAATTTTACACTCTTATTAATGTGAATGTTAATATGTCAATGTGAATATTCACATTGTCAACAGGTCGGGTCGGGGCCGCTCCGGGCCGCCCACGGGCTCGGGCAGCTACGGGGCGCAGGCTAATTTTATACTCTTATCAATGTGAATATTAACATGTCAATGTGAATATTTACATTATCAACGGGTCGGGCCGGGCCCGTCCAAGGCAGCCCACTAGCTGCAGGCGGGTTTCGGGCCGGCCACAGGCCGCGGGCTAATTTTACACTCCTATCAATGTGAATGTTAACATGTCAATGTAAATATCCACATTGTCAACGGGCCGGGCCGGGCCCACCCCGACCCGGGCCCGGGTTTTGGGCTGCCCACGGGTCATGGGCCAATTTTACACTCTTGTCAATGTTAATGTTAATGTTAATATGTCAATGTGAATATTCATATTGTGAACGGGCCGGCCCCGGACGACGGGTTGGTTTCGGGCCGCCCACGGGCCGCAGACCAATTTTACACTTCTATCAATGTGAATGTTAACTTGTCAATGTGAATATTCATATTATCAACGGGCTGGGCCGGGCCTATTTTTTTGGCTTGTGGGCCGGCCCGGCCAGACTCAAATTTTTCCGGGCACCCACGAGGATCCACATGAGCCGGGCCCCTACACATTGACAATATAAACATTTATATTGACGGTGTGAACATTCACATTAAGGGTATTTTGGTAATTATGTCACCCATAGGACTTATTAAAACATAAGAAAATAATGTGAACTAAATTGAATATAAGTAGATGAAAAGGGTATTTTGGTCTTTTTATCTCAAATTAGACTTAATGGAATAGTCAAAAAGAATATGAGTTGGATGGAATAAATCTCCTAGAAAATAAATTTATCAAAAAAACTCCCATTAAAATTTAAGTTGTCCCATTAAAATTTAAGTTGGGCCATTAGGTGGTGGCATCGAATGCTACTTCTATACTATCACTATAACCCAATACTAAAGTGCAACTTATAAAGTAAGTACGTTTTCTTATGCTCGTGTGAGACAAAAGTGGTATCTACATCCACATGAGCAGTCTATAAATTTTTTGAGAATTTTTTTTTTTTTAAAAAAAAATACCTAACATTTTAAAATCTTATTTTAGGACTCTACCCTAATTAACTAAATGATTGGTTGGAAAATGTTAAATAAGTATACATTGTTGGAAAATGTTAAATAAGTATACATTTTAAATAAATATATTTTTTATTTTTTATGAAAAAAATATTAAAAACTAGATAAATGATATGATAAAAAAGATATAAAAAAAAAAACGATAATACTACGTAGCTCAAATTTTTTAGCTTAAAAGTGGCTCAAATGGCCAAAACCACGTCGTTTTGAGTACAGAACAACATAAAAATGGCCAAAACGACGTCGTTTTGGCCATTTAAGCTACTTTTAAGCCACAAAATTTGAGCTACGAGTCATTTTCCAAAAAAAAAAAATACTATGTTAGTACTTCCCAAACAATTCTTTCACTCACGTGTACGTTTTTCCAATTCTATTAACATATTTCCTATTTTTTCTCCATATTCCATAAAGCAACCACTATTCAGCCTATAATTAAGACAAAATAATTCCTCCTTGCAAAGAGGGAGAGAGAGAAGACCAGCGGCAGCGCAGAATGGGAGGCGAGGGAAGTGATAGCCAGCGCCCAAATATTCCGGTGAGGGGGACGTTGTCGTCATCATCCTCATCAAGTTTCTACAAGATTATCCTCCCCTCCATCATTCATGACAACAAGCTGGTAAAAACACTTAACTCTTCTCTCTAGATTTTGCTGTAATGTCTGGATTATGCTTGCTGCTTCATTACCTTAAATAAAGGCATGCAAATATGGGATTGAGTGATTTGATGAGAAATTCTTAGAAATATAGAGAACAGTTGTTAGTAAAAATCTGGTTTGAGGTAAATTGACATAGTTCAGTCCATATACAAGAGCAATTTTCACAAACAACAAACAAATTAAACAATGCGATTGGTGTTCTTCTTTGCCTTAACTGTTTTAAGGACTTCTTTGGAAGTTGTAATGTGAAGAAACAAAGTATAAAACACACTGAAATTGATAATTAACACTGGAACTTGTCACTCAATTACAAGTGTCAAAAAGTACAAGATTGACAGGCTACAAGATCACTATTTAAGTACAAGAACTATTCCTATGATAAGTTCCTGCTACTCCTAGATATCACAACTATTGTGAATGGGTTGAAGGATTCCTTTCACATTAGCCATGAGAGTAATTTATAGATGTAGGAAATAACCACCGGCGCCACCGCTAACCACCTACAACTTCCAACAACTTCAATCTTCAGCCTAGGTTGCTGCTTGTCTTTCATCCCATCAAATCTTCCTAACTTCTCCTTAAACTTCTCTTAACCTCCAAGGAATTAAAGGAGTGCCAAGTGTCCTACACAACAACAACAACAACAACAACAACAGCAATAATAATAATCAATGCAGCCGTAGTTTATTTGTAAAATGATGATTCATGGTCTGAATTGACAGATCATAATCGACAGGCTAAAGGTCGTACCCAGTGCAAGAAACTCCCATTTAAGCGGAGTTTGGGGAAGGATTGATGTACGCAGCCTTACCTCTGCAAGCAGAGAGGCTGTTTCCGCGACTTTAACCCGTGACCACCAGGTCACCAAGGGGTAGCTTTACCGCTACGCCAGGCCCGCCCTTCTTAATTGACACGCTACAACCAATTAAATTATATTTAGCCTATTGATAGGCCACAATCAACAGGAAAATAAAATATGGTATCAACAATGCCCTCCTCATTTAAGGCAAAATTTTTATCTTAAATGATATAAAGGACAAAATCTAGACCAACCCATATTTACTGAAATCCATGGACTAGATTTGGCCATGATCGATAGGCCACAATCGATAGAAACTAATTTATGGTGCGAACAATTTTGAACCAATGTTTTCTAAATGTTTACATTACCCATAAATGGTGTAATTTAAACCCTTCGTACTTACTGAATGAATGTGTATGTTTACACTTCTAACATTTAGCACTCTTTAAATTTTGAAACCAAAACTACTAACATGTAGTTAACAGAGTTTTTTTTTGTTTTTTTTTGTTGTGTGCGTGTGTGTTTTGATGCTCCCTTGTCGAGTATGTAATAGATACAAACTCAAAGTTGTCACTGCCCTCTGCTTTGACTCAATCAAACTTCATTCAAAGTATAAACAATTGCCCATTATTGGTTGGCCAATTATGGCCTGCTATATGGCCATATCAAACTTACAAGAATAAGATATTGTTTTTGTTAACCAATTCATCAAAATCAACTTTTGATGTGAACAACAAACCCATGGTGGTCATTGGGTAGCAGAAATCATAATATCAAATGATTTTAGAAAATTAAAGGCCGTGTTTGATGAAGCTCTCAAATCATAATTCCACTCCTCCATTTGCACCCTCCATTTGGACAGAGTTTTGAAAATGTGATTTCACCACACATTTCAAAACACATTTCTTTTTCACGTTTGGCATATCTCTCTCTTTCATCTTCTCCATTGTGAAAAGCATGGGAGTTTTTGAATTTTGTGTCTATCCGGTCATTCTCCCGGACGTCCCCCGGACGTTTGGTTGGTTGACCGGAACAGTGTTTTTTTTTTTTTTTTTTTTTTGAACAGTACATTTTTTTTTGCAATTGCCAATCGCCACTTGTTATTTAGAAAAAAAAAAATTATATTTGTTTTTGATAGTTTTTAAATATAGAATTTATTTTTTTAACACCAAAATGACAAATTATTTTTTTGAATTGAATGTTAAAAAGAGTTTGATTATGAGTTTTGAATAGAATTTGCAATGGGGTTTTGAGTTGTGTGTTTGGTTATGAGTTATAATTTTTTGAATTAAATTCTGAAAACTCTTTTCAAAACTCATAACCAAACAAATTTTCTTAATTCATATGTCACATCAAAAATTCAAAACTTAATTCAAAACTCAATTAAAAAATCTTTTCAAAACTCATAACCAAACAAATTTTCTCTTTTCAAATCATAATTTCAAAACTCACAAACTCAAAATACAACTCTATTCTCAAATCATAATTTTAAAACTCTACCAAACGCAACCAAAAATTTTGACAATTAACCATGTCAAAAAATTCAAATTCAACAAATGTGGATTGTTCATAATGTTCAGCCATGTTTGGCTTAAAATCATGCCCCTTAATTAAATCTTCACCATCATTTTGTGATCTATTTTCAATACTATTTGACAAAATGGCTTTTTTTCTTTTTTAGCCATTAATGGCTTATGAAAACCTTATGTAGTCATTTCATCTTCATGGCTTGGTTCTCTAAAAACATGTATATTAACCCCCCGAGCCACATTATTTTCATACCTTGAATAACGGTTTGCACTCAAATATGGCTTTCAGTTTTGCAAATATTTCTTATCTTTCATGTGGAAGCATGTTGTTAAGTGTTAGTGTCTATGTCATCCATGACACACCATGACATCAGCCCTATTCTGATGTCATCCATGACATCAACCGTATTCTATGACGTCATCCATGACATCAGCCCTATTTTATGATGTAATCCATGACATAAGCCCTTATCTACTTTGGCTTATAAATAGGCTACTTGTAAAATACACAAAATTCTACATATCAATAAAATTTTCTTTATCTCTTCTTTTTCTTCATCTATATATTTGACATGGTATCAAAGCTATATCTTCCTTCTTGAAGATTTCTTGTTCTTGTTCTTGTCCTTGTTTTTTATTTTTTATTTTTTTTTATTATTTTTTTTAAGATTTTGTCAAAAAAAAAAATAAAATAAAAATTTCAGCATGTTTGACTAGGGCCGAAAATAAGCCCTATGATTTTATTTTAATTTTTTACTCATTGTTTTCTATTTTTTCTTATTTTTTGGAAAAATGGGTGGTTTTTCTAGAAAACATTTATGGTGAGGTTTTTGGTTGATTTTTTCTCTTCCTTCCTAGTCCTTGGGAGCCAACTGGTGCATTGTTGGCCTTTGCTGTCCTTGCTTTGTAGTTTTTTTGGACTTCTCTCCATGAATGATTGATTCGGCTCATATAGGTGCTGTCCTAACAGCGTTTGCTTGGGTCTAGCTTTGTTTTTTGGGCTCTACAGGTAACATATTGGTCTTGAGTTTTTTTGTTTTTTAGACTTGCTTCTGTTTGTTTGGGTTGTCCTTGTGTGGTTTTAATTTTCAATGGCTGAGGGTGAGAATAAGGATCCTTTGGTTAGTGCGGGCTTTAGGTAGCATCATGTTGTGACTCTTACCGATAGTCCATCTCTTCAAATCAGTCCTGTGAAACTTGATGGCACCAACTGCCTGATTTGGTCCCGCTTTTGTAGTCTTGCTATTGCTGCTCGCCGATTGACTGGTTATATTACCAGTGATCTTCCTTAGCATGCTTATGATGATCCTTTGCATATTCAATAGGTGTCTGAGAATGCTTTGGTTATGACTTGGCTCATTAACTCTATGCAGCCTACAATCAGTAGGTCTTTTCTTTTATTGTATATGGCTTATAAGATTTGGACAGTTGTTTCCCAAATGTATTCTCAAAAGGGTAATGACGCACAAGCATATGAGTTGAGGAAGAAACTTCGAGGCTTGGATCAGAAGGATCGCTCACTCGCGGTGTACTATGCTGAATTAAGAAACTTGTGCAGGAACTGGATTATTATCAGAGTTTCCAGGCTGTTTGTTCCAAGGATGCAACTTTATTTTAGCATACTGTGGAAAAGGAGCATGTGTATGACTTTCTTGCTGGCCTTAATTTAGAGTATGATTAGATTTTCGTTCAAGTATTGGGTCACTCTCCTTTTCCCGCCTTACGCGAGCCTTATGCTCTTGTTCAGCAAGAGGAAAGTCGGCGTAGTGCTATGGTCCATTCCTCTATTCAGGATTGATATGCTTTGGTTGTGGTTTCTACCACTCGTGATCCTAAGCCTAGTTCAGTTCAGTTTGGTAGTAAGGGAATCATAGGTGATCGGGATCGTTTGAAGTGTGATTATTGTGGAAAGACTGACATGATCGTGAGCATTGTTGTAAATTGAATGCTCGCCCTACTCGGGGTGGTGACCGTGGTAGTACAACTCGTCCATAAGCACATGTGTCTGAGATTGCAACTAGTACTTCTTGTGAGCCTAGTACTCTTTCTCAGGATGAGTTGCACACTCTCAAGTGTTTGATGGCTCAGCTTGATTCTTCATTTACCATAGTTCCTTAGACTTCCTTCGACTCCTGCTTCTTCTAATTTTGCCCACACAGGTACTCCTGCTAGTGCTCTTAGTACATCCTCGTTGCCTTCTTGGATTATTGATTTTGGTGCTACCGATCACATGACAGGTGCCTCTAGTGTTTTCTCTACTTATTCTCCTTGTTCTGGGCGAGATAAAGTTAGAGTGGTTGATGACACTTTATCTTCTATCTCCGGCAAGGGTTCTGTTCATTGCTCATCTTTACTTTCTCTTTCTTCTGTGCTTCATGTTCCTAATTTTTCTACCAACTTACTTTCTGTTAGTAGCTTTACTACGTCCCTAAACTAGTCAGTGACATTTTTTCCTACTTATTGTGTTTTTTAGGAACTGGCTACGGAGAAAACAATTGGCAGTGGTAAAGCACCTGGTGGATTGTATTTTCTGGATATTGTTCCTCCTCCATTAATGTTGTCCAACAGTCAGGCTCTTCAGTGCACCACTAGTTCTCCTTTTCCCCTCCTTCATCAATGGCATCGGCGTT